AACCGGTCGCAACGAGCGCGAAGATGTCTCAACAGTGTCTCTAGGTGACTATTAGTGATCCTGAAGCTTCCAGAACGAGAAAAAGCTTTTCGCTGTTATGTTCGGAACCTATCTTGCGCACATCGTTTAGAGTGCAGTGCTAGACAGTGAAAGACAAGCCTGAGAAGCCCACGTCCATGGCCAAATTTGAGCTTGCACGTAGTCATCGTCGTCTTCTGCAATCAGTAGTACTATGTCCACTTATCACTGCAGATAGTATTCAAAATGAAAGATGCAAAGCAATAACATTGAAATCGCCTATAACGACATCATGCCTAAGATGACCGCTGCCGAGTAAGGAGCGCGCACCACTTTGAGTTTGTTCCAATTATTCCAACTCTTGCGCAGCGCTATATATTGATGCATTGAAGTGAAAGTGAAGATAGAAATGGCTACTTCCTGTAGGGACGGAGAGCAGTACAAGACGTCAAGCCTGTGGCCAAAAGGACATACCTAGGTACAGCTCCTCCTCACCGCTTTCCACTAGACCCGCTACGGGCAAGCGCTGAAAGGCCACGCGAACGGCATTTCGAACACAACATTGAAGACAGCAGCGGCACACCACACAACGCATTCAACAGCACCATAGTCATCCCGCCTAGGGGTTGTTCTACCGATGGTAGCTATATAGTCGTGATGAAGACGTATTTCCCAGCTTCAACCTGACCATTGATCAGCAACTTCTCAGCCAACCTCTACACCGCCTGAACAGCACCTCTTCATGCCTCAACTTCCTGGTCGCACAGCTGAATCGACTCGTACGACATTCCCTCTGCCTTAGGAGCTCTGATCGCAACATCTTATGCCATTGACATGGTCATTGGGCTTGAGTATCCAGTTTGCAGCCCAGATCGCAAATGGGTTTCCTAATTTGGGCATCTTAACCCGCCCACAAAAGATGCTCCACTACGGCACACGTGCCCGCTTCGAACAAAATTCACAAGTCTCAGCTATTACACCGGAAGCACGGGTCTCTGAGACCCTTGATCTGGGGTAGATGAGACCTTGTCGCCGTTTTACTCCGCTTCGGTCTGGTATATCCACGCAGCACGCAACAGGCTGTAATGAAAGAGACTTTGACATCGTTTCAGCTGACTGCTTATCTTAAAGGCGACTTGTCCCCATCTTTCGAAGAGCCGCCTGCCTAAAAGAACGTCGGATCCGCTGTAGTCTTCCGCATACCCGAGCATCAGGAGTGTACTAGATCGTGGGCACGCGACCGCGGCTAATTCCGTTACCTGTATTACTACCTGTCTCTGTACTCTTTCTCTTTACTTTCCATGTTACTGCGACATACGTACTTCAACATGTCACCAACCGCATCAGCAACCGCTGCCGTACCCACCTTGACGCAGAGTGGAGCAAGAGTCGCTCTACAAGCCGCGGAGCAGCATGCGATTGAAGTGGGTGTTCCCATGTAAGTTCCCCTCCCAGACGCATGGCATGCGACAGGATGGGACCAACCGTGCTAACACAACAACAGGAGCATCGCTGTAGTTGATGCGCACACACACCTGTTAGCCTTCACTCGCATGGACTCAGCCAAGATAACGTCCATCAATACCGCCATGGACATGGCCTTCACTGCCGCTGGCAATCGCATCCCGACCTCCGCATACCAAGAAACACCGTGGCCAGGCAGCGCAACCTCGGGCATCGGCAACACAATCATGGGACGCTTCACAACGCTGGGCGGTGGTGTACCTATTCTGTCAGCAGCGGGCGACATACTCGGTGCTATAGGTTGCTCGACGGGCACAAGCATGCAAGATGAGGCTGCAGCAAAGGCAGGCAGGGACGCCGTACTGGACGTCATCAAGAAAGAGAAAGAAGCTGAGGAGACGAGACTACACGAGGAGAGGCAAGCAGTGTTGACACTTTGGAAAGAGAAGGAAGAAGAGGTAGGAAACTTGAGAGAGGAGCTCGAAGGTATGGACAGAGGGAGCAAGAGGATGAGGTTCGACGGCGGAAGGAGTGGAAGTGTCAGCGTTGCTGGCAGTTTGATGGGACGACGAGCGAGTACACAAGCAGGACTAGCACCAGATACCCCGCCAGAGGATGGCGAGCTGCTTCCGAGTTTCGTGGGGGAGGTGTCAGTGGGGCGTTATTGAGCGATTAGTTATACCTCTCACGTTAGCATTCCGGGCATCAGGTTGGTGAACTAAGCATGGCGTTCATGGGTAGTACTTTGGGCGAAAAAGAGGCGTTGGTATATGGAGGCTTTTTGTTTGGTAATGATGAACGAACACTACCTAGTCTACTGTATAGTCATTGTATGTGGGAAGATGTATGGCCTATGGGTATTCGCATATGCGCAAGTCATTCCAGGAGTGATCGAGCGGGGCAGCCTGTCCACTTTTGATGAAAGGTGTGGTGGAGCTCAACATGTGCGTCGGCGTTGTCGGCAACCAGTCGACCAAACGTCATACAACCATGATTGCCCACTTGGTACTCGGAAGGACTAGAGGACTGTGGAGCAAGGAAGCATGCTTTACTGGTGCTCTACTCGGGATGGCGAGCATCAGCAGAGGTGCATGCGAGTATGTTTCCGAAACGGAAATCACCTAGACAGGAATATCTCTCTGTTCGACATCTTATTTACTACCGACAAATGATTCAGCACCGTTATACTCACTACCGATACTCAATCATGCCGGTATATTCCAGTTCCGACAAAGATTCACGCACGGCAAACCTCTACACCTAATGTCATCTTTCACACCCGACAAATCTTTGTATATCAGCATTCTTCCCGCCCGACACATATTTCCACACCAGCATTTCCATGACCACCGGCAGAGATATCCAGCACCGGCAAACATATTCGCCACAGGCATCTTTACCATGTCGGCACTTTCTTCTCATACCGTCACTTCCGTTCAGCACCAACACTTTGTTACCATATCGTCACACTAGTGACCCCCCATTCAGTACCGGCAAGTGCATTCGACACCGGCAGGTTCATTCGACACCGGCAGATCGATTCAACCCCAACAAATACTGAAACCATCTCATGTATCGGCGTATCCGACCTTGAGCTGAGCAAACCCAAGTTACAGCTTATGAACATATAAACACCTGATGACGATGGAAGTGTAAAGAAGCCGACCGAGAATGATCTCTGACCGCACATATCACAAGGAGATGCTGAAACTGACATGAACGACTTCCTTCTGGACTCCGCGAACTATGCAACGTTTGCATGCGAACCCCACGATTACCGTCATCTGGAAGAGACATGAAGTCCACAGAGAGTGACGCAGATATTTTGCGATGCGATGCGATACGATGCGATGCGAAGCATAGTAACATAGACTAGATTTGATAGGTAGTATACGACGCACAGCAAGCGTCACTCATAGCGATATTCTCCACCAATGATTGGATTTATGCAGCTGACGTCGCTTGCTTTCGACAGATCCTATTTGCGTCTGAGAACGATACTGAAGGACGCAAGTACATGCGCGACATGGCGGACTGGTTCCAGCTTCACCCTCATCTTCAAGAACTGCCCATGTGCCGAGGGCAATTTCCTAGGAATTCGTGGGGACACAGCCCGTCGCGCTACGAGCATATAGAGAAATAGCCTGCGTGCGTCTGCGCGATGCCGAGTTCAGTTTCGGCTGAAAGAGCCCGTAATAGCAATATCTTTGCGTAAGGAACTGTTCAAAATCACTATCTTCTCGTTGGCAGTGCGATAAATGAAGCACCAAAAGGTTACGTCGATGCGATGCAATTGTCGCATCCCATGTTCTTCGGGTCTCTCCTCAAGGTCCCCAAGGTTTGCCAGGAAGCGGCAGACACAACGACGACTTACGCAATCTCAACACCACACGGCAACGATATCGGGCACAATACTCGTTACAGCCCGTCTTCGATTGCGCAGTCGTCGTCCCTTGTCACCCAACTTACGTACCCCCATGCACCGCCATGGTCGGAAAACCCTTCTCGAGGAAACAACCAACAGGCGCAGTCGAGGCACCCCGCGCAACGAACCACCGGCACGACGCCTCAACTGTCACGAAAAGTCCAGCCACCTCTAGACCACGCGCGATCTTCATGCCAAATCACCGACTACATCGCCGAAGCCAACAGTATCAGTATCCCCACCCCGATTCACGAAATGACGATGTGCAAGTGACGACGGTTTTTGATCCCTGTACCGAGTGCGCGACCCAGTTTAACGATGGGCAGCGGGCCAGTGTTAGGCCAGGCGAAGCCAAGCTGGGGGGAAGCCGACACCCGGCCTGCGCGCGCAAAAGGCCCCATGTCGCAAGTCCGTCAGCGTTGTAGCATTGCAGCGTTGCTCGTGCGACGCATGGTGTTGAACATGATTATTTCTTCGTTTTGGTTTCAATGGTTTGTGAGATGTGTGACCTGGTTTTCGGGCGACGCCAGTCTCCTGACAACCCATACTTTGAAGCGACAGGCAAACTTTATCGCCACAGCTCCTTACCGCCAGATGCCATGGCGCGAGGCACTCGATACTTAGCTGAACGTTCTTTGTTGAAAGGGGGCTGGGGGCAGCTATTGGAATTTGGGGGCACACACTCCCTTCTGTGGTTGAGTGACGAAGCGGCGCGGCAGTCTGCCAAAGCCGCGCCACGCCCCCTTGGCAGGCACAGAACACGAAGTGTGCCTGAGCTCAGAGTGCTTACGGGGTCATCTCCGCAGCCGCCCGGGTTCGTGCTGGGTCGCGTCTGTCACCTTCTTTCTTTGGCTGCCGTGCGCTCGCTCAGCTCGTGTTCAGGTACGAGACGTGTCAAAGAGGCGAAGATCGCTGGGAGTTTTTATTGTTAGTAGTCGTGTTAAGGGTGATCGTCGCAGGGTGAGAGTGATAGGCAGTTGGTCGTTCAGATTGTCACATGGGCAAGACAAAAAGGCAAGGGATTCGGGTCATGAATTCGTGGATCTGTAATTCGGCAACAGAGCAAAGAGGCGCTCCCCTAAAAAATGAGCAGGGAAAATAAAGAGGTTTGGTACCGTAAGATACAGAAGAAAAGAATATGTTTCCAACCAGCGCGAAAGCACGCGTCGCGAGTTTGATCTCCAAGCCGCCCTGTCATCTACAGTAGAAGAATTGTAACCCCCATACACCCTCATAACGCGTGTTGTGACTTGCTTATGCAAGGTCGCAGCACCAGATACCCTCGTGGTTAGCACAACCAATCTTGGTGTACTGGTCAGAAGTGAGGATCTCAGCGTGGCCAGTCTGACCCTCGTAGTTCCAGCCCTTGGACGCGCTGCCGCAGACATCCTCGAGACCGGGCAGGGTGGGGATCTCGCAGAGCCAGCCACCGTAGAAGACGTGGTCGAAAGACTCCATGTCGGGCTTGCCGGGGGCAAGAACCTGGCCGTAAGTGCCGGGGTTGAGCTTGTGCTTCATGACACCGTTGCCCTCAACAACGACGTTCATGGCGTTGGCCTCGAGCTTGGTGTCGCACTCAAGAGACTTCATGCCGAGCTTGGCACGCGCCTCCTCGACAATGCCCATGTAGCCACCGCTGGAAGGAGCGGGAGCAGCGGGGGTGGTGGTTGGCTTGGGAGCCTCGCTGGTAGGAGCAGGGGGAGGAGGAGCGTCGTAGGTGGTGGGCTTCTGAGGAGCGGGCTGGTAGACCATGGTGGTGGTGGGCTTGGGCGCCTCGCTGGTGGGCGCAGGGGGAGGGGGAGGAGCGTAGACGGCAGTGCTGGTGGGCTTGACGGGAGCGTAGGCGGGCATGGTGTTCTTGGCCGGGGCCTCGTACGCAGCGCTGATGGAGCTGGTAGGCTTGGGGACCTCGTAGCCCTCGGTGACGTAGACAGTCTTGACGACAGTCTCAACGACAACATGGACGTTCTTGACGTGCTTGTGCTGGCTGCCGTAGCCACCGTAGGAGGGAGCGGCGAGCGCAGAGCCAGCCAGGACGGCGGCGGAGAAGGCGATCGAGTAGCGCATGTTGATTGATTTCGTGTTGGTTGATTTAGTAAAGGATAGGAGCTGGACTTGAGTTGACAGGTAAGGTTCGACGGTCGAATTGTTTTTTGGTTACAGATGCGAAGTGAGCGTGTTTGTGCCGAAGGGCGGTAGAGAACGTGGTGTCAAAGATTGACTGTGTAGAGAGTGAATGACTGGATGTCGAACCTGGAAGTCGCAGACCTGGGGTAGTAGAGGAAGGCAGAGGGGATAAACTACATTTATACAACTTGACGCTAAGCAGGAAACGGGCGTTGTGCAGCTGACATGGGCCAGGAAATTAAACGCGAGCGCCATCACATTTCCGCCCACGGCCCCGTCCTCCGCAGATTTACCTGTGCCTGGAGCTAGACGCTCTCAAGCGCAATTCTCGTCCCAACCAAGCCCTTGGTAGACCGCTTGCATCCTTTCATTTCGTCTCTTGCTCAGTGACAGTCACCGTAGGCCAGATTTTGAAGTCTGCAGCCCTACGCATTCGCATTGGCTATTATCGGGTCGCATCTAATGAATGTTTCGGTGGCTACATTCCTTCCAAACCCTTTGTGCTTCACTGCGGTTGTGCGCGGCAATCAATAAAGCTTTGTTTGTCTATCCGTCGTTGATTGTCGTGCACTCTGGCGCTTCGACTCGGATTTCGTTGGTACGGTCCAGATGTGACAAGCGTCAGGGGTAAACACAGACGATCATTGGGCTTGCGCAAGGGACAGCTCATCAAACGCCCACTTCGGAACATTAAGCGGAGAGCTAAGTCGAGAGCGGCAAAACGTAAAGATATCCCGAAGTGCGCCACTGTCCTATTGGCTGTTATAATCGTCTGGACCAGGTACGGTTTCAGATGTTTTTCTTAGCCCAGGGTACATGTTGGCCTGACCCGGCTGTCGAAGAAACCTCTTGTGAAAGGTACTCCGAGTAGTTGCACAACTACAGTCCGCCTTAGTTTCAGCTCTGGTGCCACAGCATCTACTTGGTCCTTTCGCTCGTATCGCAGATGGCGAGCGGTTCACGAGTCCGTGCGACTTTCATCGCTGTCCGAGGGAAGAGTCGAGACTCTAGAAGGCCGTTCGCAGAGTGGAGCCGCCGAAGGATTTCTACTCGGACGGGAGAGGTCATCGTGAAACGGCGAATCGTGGGATATTTGGAGATCCCGTTTCTATCGCGCCGGCCCAACGAGGTAGAAGAAGAGGGGAAGCTTGACTGCCGCCCGTTGTCGCAACATCCTTCCGCCATTGTAGTCGATCGTGTGGATGTGCGATAACTGCTAGAGTCAGTGGCGCTTCATGACACTCGACTTGGCTCCACCCTCAGTGTCACCATCTGCCATCGATCTTCCGCGTGGACGGTCGCCACGTGTTAGCGCACTGGGACAGCGAGGAGATCTCGTCTCTTGACGTGGATCCGGTACACCGCATGGTCAGCGACCCTCCAAGGACTGTGCCCGACCGCCCACCAGGTAATCAGCCACGAGCCGAGATCAAAATTCAACGTCATTTCTCGACCCAAGCATGCGACACAGCTAGGATGTCGTAAAATTAATGGTAGTGATAATGAGGGGTTGTAGCAAGGTGACCCAGCACTGTTTAATCTTCGACCCGTTGCGGCACCAGATTGTTTCTTTCAACCTCATCTCACTCAAGATGAAGCACCGAAGGCCTGCCGTGCCTCAGGCCTCGCGATTAAGTGAAACGTCGATTTTGGTCTGGATGCGCTCGCCGTTTGTCATGATGTGTCGCCGTGTGCTGGCGGCAAGCAGCCGTCTTGCGTGGCCAAAGTGCAATTTCGCGGAGGCGGCTCAGCTTCTTCCTCGTTGAATACTGCCGCAGACCCACAGCATCAACGGCGTTTAGTATACCCGGCCCGTCATCAGGTTTTGAGGTGGCTGTCGCCCCGCTGTCGGCTGTACTCCGAGTGCGGTACGTGGTTTCTTTTCGGCTTTCGACCGCATGCTAGTCGAACTCTTCATCCACACACTTTTTAGCCCAGTCGCAGCGCGCCCTCCGTCGCAACCCCTGATAGGGCAAGCCCTGCAAGGTGTTCTCTCGCGCGTATGCACGATGCTGACACATGCGCCGTTGATCGTCGAACTCCTTCGTGCCTGAAACGTGGAGGTCGGCAATCTTCCTATCTGCTATCGATTAGATAGCTGGCCGAAGTGGCGCGAGCGCGCTGACGACTTGGGCGCCAGCAGAAGTCGCTGCTTTAGGTTATCGGGACGTCTTCGTGGCTCCTGTTAACCCGGCTGTTGAAGAAGATCCTTCATCCCAGTGTGGCGGACTAACCGTCAGGTACCATCGCGCCGATTTTCACATGCAGCCCGTAGCCCCGGCGGAGAACTGCCTCAACCGCGAAAATCCTGCAGTAGCGCGAACGAAACACGTGTGAGCCACGAAAACCTCTTCCTGCCAACCGTCTCGGCCGGTGAGTCTGTTGACAGACACGTCGGCGGTCCGGTGTCTCCCTGGATAGCGGTCACGACGTCATCTGACAGCTCATGCAGCTTGCTGTACTTTTCCACCCAGTTGGCACAAAGATCAGGTTTAGCGAGGAAATCCAAAAGCACCTGGGTCTGATAAGGCAGAAGCAAAGTGACATGTCACCTAAAGAGGATGAAGTCATGGGAAGACGGCAGATCATTTCTTGCCTCCCGAACTCAAAAACGTAGGCGATGCCTGATCCAGATGGCGGCTTGGCGGCAACCATGAGAACGTTCACCGAGGCCCTCACACCTTGCATGGGTGACGAATGAAATTCAATCTCGCGCGCCGCGGTGTTCGAGAGCGAAACAATGGGCGTTCTCATGTTGAGCGTCGTAGGTGGCTTCACATACACGCGTTCAGATATCCCCAACCTGAGTGTTCACGCAGTCTGCTTCTTCTTCCATGCGGGTGGATTGGATGCTCGATCGATCAATCGTCATCCTACTTCATGATCCTACACTAACACGTTCTAGCCTATGCGACCTCACTACTAGCTTTTGGCTTCACCACGTCGCTGTCTGCTAATTAGCCGTTCACCGATTGGTGCGCATCATTTGTGCCTTGCATTCCCATAGACTATTCCAAGCTCCACCTGCACTCGTCTCGATGACTGCGTCTTAGTGAGGATGTTAGATAACAGAAAACGCCACCGATGGTTATTATACGTGTGAGTATAGCCACGGTACATTCTGATTGACCCTCGCGAAGGGCGTACCTTGGAGTGGAGTAGCTATTCACAGCAACAAAGTCTTGGAAGTGTAGGTAGACCAAGGCACCTATCTTTCAGAATCGGCTAAAGAAAAAGCAACGACCGAAACTGTGTTCCATAAGAGCCTAGACAGTTCCTTACATCATATCCAGGGCGCTGAGGTATGCGCCGCCCAATTAGGCAATCCGACCAACCAGAACCCATACCCCCGTCTCCACAGACAGCGCTGAAAACACCTCTGCGGGACGAAAAATCTGCAGTTACCGCCGGATGACACGGAGGCGCTTTGTTCTGCCCTGAATGTCTCAGTGTATGATTGGTGTGCCTGACAGGCCTGTTGGGCCTTGGGGGCCCATACTTGTTCGGTAACGGATGTAGGTGTGATAAAGAGCTGGACTACGCCGTGGGCCCACTTTGAACTCCCATGTGTTTAAAGTCGACGTTCACCCTCTTTTGTTCTTGATCTACACACACTCCTTGTCACATCACAGTCAAGCTTCGACAGCTTTATCACATTCTTTCCAAACTTCCCTCTCTTGTTCAATTGACGGTCTGGACCTCCACTCATTCATCACTCCATCAACAACACACAGTCTCTATAAAGAAACTTCGCCACACTCCCTTGTGTAGCCAACAAAGAACATCTTCAAACAACACCGTCACAGACCCTCTCAATCAACAAAATGCTTTCCAAATTCACCTTTGCCATCGTGGCACTCCAGGCTAGCCTTGCCCTTGCTGGCAAAGCCGTCATCGCCAACCGCTGCAGCTACGACATCTGGGTCTGGTCGATCTCTACCGGATACGGCGTACCTACAGCAGTCCGCATCCCTTCACGAACCACCCACAGCGAGCCCTACAACGGTGTCAGCACTTCCATGAAGGTCAGCAAGTCTGAGAACCTCGTCGCTGGTCAGCACACCCAATTCGAGTACTCCATCGCCAATGGCCAGCTCTGGTACGACATCTCTTTCGTCGACTGCGCCAAGGGCGAGTCTGCGTCCAACTGCCCCGGTCACGACGAAGGCCTCGCTATGGATGCCAGCGACGACAGCTGCGGCAAGATCGACTGCGAGGCTGGAACATACTGCCCTTCGCAGATCTACTACGTCGACCAGCCTCTGAAGAAGCTTGGTATCGCTGAGCCTGTCTTCATGTGCCCCAGCTCCCTGGGCACCAGCCCCGACCTGTACATGAAGGTCTGCTCTGGCGAGGAACAGATCAAGAGGAGCGTTGCTGGACGCATGCAGATCAACGGCGAGGCTTAGATAGCCCTGGTGCCGCGCACTTTACGATTACTTCTCCAGCTCTTTTATGATTACTTCTTACGTTCTTTATACATAAACTAGGGATGGGACATGGGATATACCTTGGGTCACGATTTGGTTACGACTTTGGATGATTCAATGAAACGTGTTACGCTATTACGAACTCTCGATTGACACTATCACTCTGTGCATTGTTCTTCGTGATGATTTAGATGTCGCTGTCTTGCCGTCGGCTCCGTATCGGTCGTCGTTGTAGCGGGCGCTTGCTGATACCAGGGCTGTGCCTGTCGCATTCGTGGCGTGGACGCGTCGCACGATACGAGTTGCACATTTGATTTTGGCCGAGTCCTGCCAGATGGTGCGCTCTGGGGCTGCTGCCAGGCCATGGGGACAAGCGAGTCTGTTAGCGCGAAGACCACGTCATGCATTTTCGTGCCCAACTGCACCTCAGCCCCCATCATGGTGATGTTTCATCGGGTGAGTATGGCTGCGGAGAAACTTACGACACAGTATAAGCCCTTGGAGAGGAGCATGTTGATGGTTCGAGTCTAGACCTACTGTACGCGCCAGCTGGATGACAGAGCCGCGCGTCAGGGGTGCCCAGGTGTAGAGGAAGACGAATACCGAAGCGCTTCACCAGATACTCTTGAACTCGGCCTTGTCGTTGAACTTCGAAACATTACCCGGCACTATGGTTCCTGATGCCTGTTACGACTCGACTGAGCTTAGTCGACGATCGCAGATCAGTCTCCAGTTACCCCACATCTGCACCGAACGAACAGATCTACCCCAAACCTTTGTCCTCTCAAACACTCTTTACCATTCGGGCTAGACGGAACACTCAACATGGCTGGTGGCTGCATTCGCTCGATATGCACATGAGTTGTAGTATCAGCAGGCGTGGCTACTTGCATCCGTGGGCAGCTGGTCAGTCTCGTTGCGAGCCTACTGAAGCGATGGTGGAGTGGGGAAGCTCTTGCGAGAGGGGTTGCCGCGGCTACATCGACCTGTGTTTCTTTCGACGTCTACCACGCGATTGTTAATGCTGTGGGCTTTTTAAGCAAACTCAAGACTCGATCTGATATCATACACCTTGTCCTACCCATCCAGACGCAGAATGACGACCAAAGGACCGATCGCAGCAGCTCCAATAGCTGAGGTACCTTTGACCGAGGCAGATGCTCCCAAATCTACTATCGATATCAAGACCGGGGAGATAGCAAACAAAGACGAGCTACCTTTTGACCCGGCAGCGCTCCAAGCAAAGTACCTCCAGGAGCGTGATCGACGTTTAGCACGAGATGAAGGCGTAGAGCAATACATACTCCTTGATGGCAGCTTATCACATTACCTGGACGATCCTTGGGTCGAGCCCGGATTTGAGCGCGAGCCTATCGAAGAAGAGACCGAGGTGGTAATTATCGGTGGAGGATACGGCGCTCAGGTCTGTGCCGTGCGGTTGATTGAGGCTGGCGTTACAGACTTCAGGATCATTGAGAAAGCCGGAGACTTTGGGGGAACTTGGTATGCTTTGTTGAACCACATGTGATCCACTTACTGACAGCAAGGGAGGTACTGGAATAGGTATCCCGGGGCACAATGCGACATCGAATCCTACATCTACATGCCCCTTCTCGAAGAAGTGGGATACATGCCTACGGAGAAGTATGCTCGTGCCAAAGAGCTTCTTAGACACTCGCGTATGATTGGCGAAAAGTACGACCTTTACTCGCGTGCTCTCTTCCAGACTGAAAGCAAGGAGATGCGATGGAACGAAGAAGAAGGGAAATGGACTACGCACACAGCGCGCGGCGACAAGATCAAGTCACGATTCGTGATCCCCGCCGCTGGTCCTCTTCATCGACCCAAGTTCCCCGGCTTGAAAGGCATCGAAGACTTCAAAGGCCATTCCTTCCACTCCTCGCGCTGGGACTATGCCTATACGGGCGGCGATCCATCGGGAAATTTGCACAAGCTCAAAGACAAGCGCGTGGGTATCATCGGGACAGGCGCAACAGCTGTCCAAATTGTACCTCATTTGGGTGAGTGGGCAAAGCAGCTCTATGTCTTCCAGCGTACACCCTCTTCGATCGATGTTCGTGGTAATCGCCCGACCGACGAGGCATGGGCACAATCGCTCCAAAAAGGATGGCAGAAGAAGCGCATGGACAACTTCGATAACATCGTCAACGGCGGCTACGAGAAAGAAGACATGGTGTCCGATCGCTGGACAGACATCATCCGGTCTCTAATCACCGCCGGTATCGACCCAAACAACCCTGTGGAAGCTGCAGCAAAACGTCAGATCGCAGACTTCAAGAAGATGAACGCTATCCGCGATCGAACCGACGAGATCGTCAAAGACAAAGAAACAGCCGACGCTCTGAAACCATGGTACAACCAATTCTGCAAGCGCCCCTGCTTCCACGATGAATACCTACCGACCTTCAACCGTCCCAACGTCACACTCGTCGATACCAAAGGTCGAGGTGTTGACCACCTCACCCCCAACGGCGTCGTAGCCAACGGCCAAGAATACGAACTCGACTGCCTCATCTACGCCACTGGTTTCGAGCTCGCAAATGAATGGTCGCACAAGACCGGTATCGAGATCTACGGCCGCGACAATCAGACCATAACAGAGAAGTGGGCTGATGGCGCACAAACACTGCATGCTTGGGGAACGCGCAACTTCCCCAACTGCCTCTTCGTCCAGATCGTGCAAGCTGCTCTTACGCCAAACTTCATGCATGTCACCAACGAGCAAGCGATTCACTATGCGTATATCATATCGGAGTGTAAGAAACGCGGAATCAGGACTGTGGAGCCGATGCAGGATGCGGAGGAGGCATGGACGAAGACGATTGTTGACGGCACGGCGATCCGGGGTGACTTCTTGAAGGAGTGCACGCCAGGGTACTACAACAACGAGGGCAAAGATAGTGAGAGGGAGAAGAGGAATGCGACGTTTGGATATGGTAGTCCGGCGTTTATTAAGATCCTGAATGATTGGAGGAAGGATGATGCGATGAAGGGCGTGGATGTTACGTATGCCAAGGACAAGGCGGCAGATGTGCTGGCTAGGAGTCGTATATAAACCGCTCTTTGGGAAAGTCTCACTTATGGACATATTTATCTTACAGCAGACTTCTTTGGGGCCATCAGTATCCTAAAATATCAATACCAAAGCCTTATGTCGATCAAAACCCCGGAAGACGGAAAGCATGTCTCACAAGGCATGCGAAAAGCGTAAATTCGAATAGCCATTTCGAACATGGCGGATGGAACTTCTGCTCATCACTTCTCGGCTTCGCTGTCATACTGAAAAACTGGTGACATGGGTGCGATGTAACCAGCACCATTGCACACCGTGTCCGCTACTACGGTAAATACACAAGGCCGCATTGTTCGGTCGATCACTCTTACCACTCACGCATGCGAGCGTTATTGTTAAAAACTCCAATGGCGCTCGATTATGGAGACCACTAGTTCCAAAAATGGAAAGTGCTCTGAAATGTGTTCGCTGCGCTCCACTCGGCTTTCCTTAAACTTACGAACATGCTGAGGAGACGTATATTTTGAAAAGGAGATGGACAGGCTCTATGCCCGCTTCTCTCCCTTTTTCTCAACAAACCCATAATCTACATGCACATGTCTCGGTCACGCCACCCTTGGCACAACACACATCTACAAAGAAAAAGGAATCTATGGTCAAATGGTGTTCCGTTTCATACTCTTCTCGATGTAAAAGCAACCTTTCCACGCACTCTTACTCCTCACTTCTTCACCATACCGCTGGTGATTTGCTCCAAAAACCTGAAGAGCATGTTGCCATGGGTCTTTTCCTCCAAAAAAGAAAGTGCCAGATTTTATGCGGTCACTTCTTCGTCTTCTCCAGCAGAATTTTCAGCCTAGCACACTAAAACGCTCCAAGTCTTCGCCATGGCCTTTGCTTTCTTCCACATTCCAACTTACGAACATCTTGGATGGCTTCGCCTGAAAAATCGGAGAGGGCTTCGCGATGAACGCTGGACCTAAAAGCCCGACACATACAATGCATGTGTCTCTGAACAAGCCTTTCCACATTTTGCCAAAGCAAAGGGCGGAACCTTGGATGTTCCTTCCTTCGCCCGCCTCAAAGACCTCGCCTTTACCCACATGACCGCCTCGGAACAGTGGAGTGAGAAAGCTTGTACAAAAGCTTCTGCTATCTTGCTGCTCTCCATACTTCCTCACATCTATGCCTTCCAGATTACCAAAAAAGATGAAGAACCATCCTATGAAAGATCCCTCGCCTCTCCTCCTCCACGACTGTCAAAAAAAGTACAGATAGCATACATGGAGAAGACGTCACCTCCCCTTCCTGGACATCGGACAAAATTCCGTCCACTATCCCGAAATGGAGAAGATCTCGCCTCTCCTGTCTCGATATCCGACAAAATACTCCCAGCATTCCTGTCATGAAGAAGATCTCACCCTCTCCTCTTTTATAAACACCAAAATGCCCACTTCCCTGCCCCATGAAGAAGAATCTGCCTCTCCGTGAAATCAAGACCAGCTGAGTCTATGAGGCGCTGCGCCTCAACAAAAGAAACCTATCAACAGGTCACCCGCGTGCCGGGTCGTCTGCGAAGATATTCAGTTTACCACGGTACCAATGGAGAAACTGGGAAAGAAAACGACCAAATCCTGCCCTCATGTCTCTGCGTTCTTTCCCGCGTCGAAAGACGACGGCATGATTTTCCATGTTCTTTTACGGCTGGGAAAGAAACCGCAAGACTAGATACCCATGGCGAGCTGTCTTGCAGAATGAAGTTAGTGTCGCCAGTGAGGCTGGCCAGGCGCATAGTCCCTATGCGATGATGATGCGCTCCATCATCACTCGATGTTAGCATGTGTGAAAAGAAAGAGAGCCTGACTGGGTAATATAACATGGGGTATCATTCATCGCCTACGTCACTCAATGTGCGCGAACGCTTCTTCTTACCGTTCCGCTCTTCGCTTCCATAATATAATGTACACGTGTTCATCGCCCCTTCCTCTGCAAAGTGCCTTCATGGCAGCCAATCTCCTCAACACCAGGCTCTGAAACGCTAGCCCCTACAACGGCGGACTCTCCGGCCGATCAATAGCCAAAGAGAGGTAGTAGTCGGTCAGCGCATTCATCTCGTCGCCGTGATTCGTATCGAAATCATCCTGCCTATCTGCATGAGCTTCTTCGCCCCACCTCTCCAACGCTGGGACATCCAACTGCATGTGCCTGTTGTGGGCATACGGCTGCTGAACACACTCGTAACCGAGAACGCCAATGTCCCAGACACCAGCACACGAGTCGCAAATGAGTGTTGTGCTAGATGGGGCAATGGGGTTGACAGAGCCACAGCGGAAACAAGCGAAAGAGCAGCGCTCGCATAGGACAACGTCGCTGTTCTTTGTCGTAGATGGGCGGGCTGGGCGACCACAGTGCGTGCACTTCGATTTGCCGGGTATAATGGCGCTTTTAGTGTCGATAGCCTTCCATTGTCGACGCAGTTCATCTGGGATACGGTCTTCACTTCGTCCTGAGTCGCCGACGTCCTCGCTCGTGACTTTGTTGAGGTTGTCCTTGCAGGCAGGGATGTCACACTGGTGGCCTCGCGGTATTGTAAGACCGAGCTGGAATTGCAGCGCTTGTTCACGAAGAAATGGCGCGTCGATACTCTCGTCGAATGGGCCGGCGTAGTTCACACCTTGAACGACTTGTCGGATTGGTAAACTTCCCATAGGCGCGACCTGTAGCTGCCGAGTCTGCAGTAGATAGTTGCCTTCAGTAATACCGGACTCGGGTGCTAGATGAGTGATGTCGCTAGCCTCGTCCTGGATGTCGTCTTGCTCATCGTCTTGATAAGGCATATACCGTAGTCTGTTTGCGTCTTTGATTGTAGTGTCATCTCTGCCGACTTCAAGCACGTTAACTGAGCCATTGACTTCTCCAACGACAAGCTTGCTATAGTCTGGACTAAAAGCTGCAGACATGATACCGGAATCTGTGGTAATCAAGTCCTTGATGAACGTGTTCTCTTCTGCGCGCGTGACGTCCCAGACCTTGACCACACCATCGGATGAACCAGAATAAAGCCGAGTGGCATTCCCGCCCCATGATAAGAACCGTATGCCGGTGTCTGTAATCTCATGCTTGATTCCCTCTTGGAGAGGCATCAAGGAGCTGCCGTGAGAGAGTACGCGCAGAGGATCGTCTGGCCAACGCGCATCCCAGACATAGACCTTTCCGTCTGTGCAGCCAGCTGCAATGAGTCGTTCGTCATGCGGACACCATATTACATCGTTCATATCAAGAGCTTTACATTCGAACTCGATAGGACAGGTCAACTTACTGTCGTCTCTCACATCGTAGAGGCGGACCGTCGAGCGGGTGCCGCGGTTGACAGTGGAACCTGTTGCTACACATCCGGCAGCAAACAATGGCATGTTGGAGCGGTTTGGGTTGAAAGTGACGTCGAAAATGTTCCTGTTAGAGCCGTGAATATTGTACGGGGTCTGTGTTTCGACATCCCACAAGCAGAGATCGCCTGTCATATCAAGACCTGTCTCCTTCAAGTTGGCACCGAAGCCTGCAAGAAGAAGCCCGCCAAACGCGGGCTCGAACTGCAAGGCCGAAGGGAGTATTCTTAGGTCTGCGCGTGCAACGGCCTTGTTTGAGTGAAAGCTCGACTTTGCAAAGTTCCACGGCTCCGCTTCATCTATCTTGAGTACTCTTATAGCCTTCTCGCTGAAGACTTTTGCTGCTGTTGCGATCATGCTGGGATTCGTACGGTTGACTGACAGAATATCGATCTGGTCTTTCACGTTGAGCTTCGCAGCTAGCATTGGCTGCGTTGCTTCTAAGTCTGTTCTCCAAATACCGATATGTCCGTCGTAACCTGACGAGTACATGTACGGACTGGTATTGGAGAACGCTACCGAGCTAACCGTAGTGTAGAGCTTCGGGTCTTGGGAGGCGAACATAGCATGACTGGAGTTAGCGCCAGTCTTAGTCTTCTCGCGAATTCTGTAGTGTTCTGCCAATTCATGGATTGTGCCCTGCATGGTACTACCGAAAAGGAGGTTGTTCGGTCGATTGTACTGCATCGAGTCTGGATCGTCAACAGCGACGGCACCAGCAGCAAAGTGCTCACCATCCGGCGCCCATGCAACAGTGTGGATGTCGCTTGATGCGCCCGTCCAGTGAGCTGCCGGTCCCATTGTATCCATATACTTGTTCTTGACCTGGTAGGTAAGCGGATTTGACGCACTATGCCAGCCTCTTCTGGATTGGAGACCTAGCTCACGTTGGCGAATGATTGAAGTTGTGGACTGCCTCTGGGTCGATTGCATCTCTGTGTCTGGTCGCGCAGCTGCAAGCCTCTGTATTTGCAGTACTTCTGCAACATCGCCAGCTAACGCGTCTTGTATAAAAGCTTGGATGCTGCTCCGATCGCGGCAGTGCAAACGATGAAGGAGGCTTTCGACTAGTCGAAGGATCTGCGGTTCTGTAAAAGCCTTCAAGTGTTCGCGCAGCTGCCTTCCTTTTGTACTGTGTCGTGTGGTTGAGGTTCTTTTTGTCGAAGCGATCGCCTTCTCTACCGAAGCAATCTCAGCGGGACTGAAGTCGACATGAAGTAAAGTGCCTTGCCAGTCACGACTGGTAAGCTGATTCCACTCCCCAGCAGGTGGATTCTGTATTGACAAACGCTGCGAAGTGCTGAGATATGGCATTTTCTTGGTCGTGTCCTTACGCGAATTCGTACGTCGGAGACTCAATCCTATTTCAGCATCATCTGCATTGAAATGAACGTCCACAGGCTGGTTCTCGACGGCGATAGCCTTGCTGGGCAAAGGACTGTCGTCCTCTGGGGACGTCTCCGACCGCGAATATCCAAAATCGTCCGCCACAGCTTCGAAGCTGTCTTCCGTAAACTCCTCTTCGATCCCGCCTCCTGGGATACCTCGCTGCTTTGGCCATGTATAGTTGACTGGTTTTGCTCGGCGCGGTCGCTCTCGCCGAGGCGCAGAATCTCCTCCTGAAGAATAGTCTTGCTCAATGGTTTGTTGGATAGGTAGATGTCTAGGGGCCTGCTCCTGACGTTTCGGTTGGTGAGGGTGCGAAGCGGATAGATTGCTCCGTGGCCCTCTTGATGGAGCACTGGTACTACGAACAAGATTCCAATCAACAGTCGCCTCTGCAGCCCACCGAGAGGGCAGGATCAACATTGACGGATTATGAGATCTGTCTCTCTTGTTGAGGAAAGTCGAATAGCGAGACTGAAGTGCTGCGTATGGGCGGTGCGGCATGTCGTTGTTGTACTCTGCTGTGATCTGCGCCCATGTGAACTGCTTAACCTCCTTGAGAAAGATGAGGTAATGGTCTTGGGCTGTATCAAACGGATTGACTGTTTTCTTGCGTCCAGTGGATAGTGGCGGTGCAGGTACATCCGCGCCCTTGGGGAGGGTGGATGAGTGGAATGTAGCGACTGGAGGTCCGAGACCGTGGTGGACATTTCCGCTCTTCACCTCATCCGATGGCTGTTGCGGTACAGAATCTGCCGAGGACGATACATCGGACATGACGCTGTCGTGGTCTTCATCTGAAGGTTGCTCTTTGGCAGGTCCCGTGAAGTAGTTCGGCCTTGACGGTGTGCTGTTCGAAGCTGGCGGAAGGCGACTGCGCGGTCTTCCTGGGCTTCTGTTTGGTATGCCTGCACTTAATCCATTGTACGTAGCTGTATCGCCGGATTGTTGTCGTTGGTTCTGAGCTGACGGTGCCTGTGACATTCGCGGCGTCTCCCGTATCGGTGGTGCTGGCTTGACTGGACCTGAGCTGCTACCTGGCCGGCGACCGATTTGGAGTGCGCGTGAACTGACCGTCCTGACTCCGTGTAGCGTAGGTGCAGCGTTCGTCTTTAGCGCCTTGTTGATATCTTGGACCGATGGAGCTTTGTTCGCGTTGCCAGCGCTGGGCTTCGATGTGGCACTTGAAGGAGGCACTGGCGCACTAGATTCCGCTGTCCAGGCATTGAGCTTGTACTTGCCTAGGGTCGCGGCTTGTGCTGCTGGCGGTATGCCTCTGCGTGGGGTCGGCTTCTTTACAGGTGGTGTTGAAGTTTTGGGGGCGCCTTCAGATGTCTTGATTCTTTTGGCCGCCCGCGAGTCGCTTGCCCCATTGCTCGACTGCCCAGGAACCGGCACGTAAGTACTGGGTGCCTGACCAAGGCGTCTCATACTCGCCGTGTTTGTCGCTTTCGGCATGTTGCCAGGAGGCGGGGGATATGGGTTTACGTATGCAGGTGCGGGTCGCGTCGTTGGAGGAAGTGGTCGCGATGAGGCAGGTCGAGGCAAGGGCGCGCTCATGGAGGGGTGTGAGTGAGTCGGTGTGGAAGTTGCCAAGGGCAACGAGGACAGCGCGCCCTCGTCGCTTTCCGCATCGTCGTCATCGTAGGTGAGGTCGACTATGGAATGCCGCCAGTCGCTGCGCATATTAGTCGACTCCGTCATTCTCTCGCACCGCATGTGCAACTGGAAAACACAACACGATATGGCAGAAGAATGCTATTACTAAGAGAAGTACTCACCTCATTTCCATCAGTCTCGGCGGCAGGCAACACGTCCATGGGAGAGATGGTGCTTGTCGCGTTGAGTGGTTTGCGACCAACCGTGGATCGCGTAACCGCGTACCCCCGCTAGCCGTGGCTTAGCGTCGTGTGGCGTCACCCCCTTGACCTAAGAGCGGAAACCTACCGTCTTTTCCACTGCAACTTGAACAAGTTCTCCCCGTGATACTCTCGAATGTGAAGACATATGCAAACGAGGGGAATTTCATCAAGTCTCGATTAGATAGGGAGTCTAACACATCAAACAATCTCAAAGTAGTGAACATCAACCTTCAATACACTCCCCATCTCCCACTCACACTCAATAGACCTTATCATGCTCTAGACCCTTATCCATATCCCCCTTCCCCTCAACATCCTGCCTACTATCCTGCACCGCCAACCCCGCAACAACACCCTCCTCACCAGGCTCAACATCTGTCGGCACAGGCGGGCCCGAGAACTCCTTCCTACCACGAATAAAATACCACGCCACACTAATCGCCGCGAAACCCGCAAAAACCACACTCGCATAGTTCATGGTCGCAGGCTCGACGGGCAGACTAACCGGCATGCAGAAGAGCACAACAGCGAGGCAGATCCACGCAATCATAGCAACATTGATGGCGTAGCCGAAGCGGCCGAGCGAGAAGGACGAGTGCTTGACTGCTCTGCGGCCGCGGAGCACGGAGATGAGGATGGGCATGCCGTAGGAGGTGGAGAGGCAGATTGTAGCGACACCAGTGAAGGAGTTGAATGCGGCGGAGGAGCCAAAGTAGATGAGGCCGAGGAGGCAGTCAACGACTGTAGAGAGGACGAGCGCCATGAGGGGGATGTCGAAGCGTTTGTCTACCTTGGCCCAGAGTCGCGAACCAGGAATTGCTCCGTCGCGAGCAAACGCATATGTGCAGCGTGATGCAGCGGTCAGAGCGCCCGTGCCGGCGAAGAAAAGGATGCCGAGGATGAGAAAGAGGAGGCCGAAGCCGCCGCCTGCACTGCCGGTTACGGTCTTAAAGAGCAGGCCGATGGGTTGCCCGTTGGCGACGTCGAGGAGGAGTTGGACGTCAGGGAGGACGAAGAGGATGGGGATGAGGTAGATGACTCCTGTGACACCGGCTGCTGCTACGGAGAGAACGATGGCTTTTGGGACTTCGCGGGAAGGGTTCGAGACTTCTTCGCACATGGCGGCGACCATGCCGTAGCCTGTCAGCGTGTATGCAGCTTGCAGGAGACCGACGAAGAAAGCCCATCCTGATGGCCTGGCATTAAAGTTAGTCCAACCGTCCATAATCCATGGCAAGACATGAAAGATCAACATACCATCCACTCTGACTAGCATCATAATGCGCAAACACAAACTCAGCATCCCTCTTCGTATCCGCCATAGTCAACAACACAACCATAATAACAACCACACTAGTCGCCGTCCAATAGATGCATATCTTATTAATCAGATCCAAGTACTTCGCCCCAAAGATATTCACCGCCATGCAAATCAGCATAACCGCCCAAAACGCAAGCACAGTCTGCCATTCATTCGGCACAAAGTCCTCGTTCCAAAGCGTAATGGCCGATAAGATGAGCTGGCCGCCGGAGAAATTGATCGAAAGCGTAACCGTCCAGTTGCCCACTAACGTCAACCAGCCCGTTACCCACGAGGCGATGGGCGCCCATTCGCGCGTGGAGAGCATGGCGGACCAGTAGTACACGCCGCCGGCTGTGGGATACACGGCGCAGATCTCAGCGAGGGACGCGGCGATGCAGAGCGAGATGAGGGAGACGAGGATCCAGCCGTAGAGCACAGTCACCGATTGCCCGTCCGTGAGCGTGATGTAGAGTGTTGTTGAGAGACCGAATGGAACGGCCATGATGGCAAACGACATGCCGAGGACGCTCAGCATGGACAGATTCCGTGGTAATTCAGACTGGTAGCCCATTTTCGCCAGGGCAGCGTCGGCGCCTGGGTCGTTGATCGAAGCCCGTCTTCGTGTGGCATCCTGTCCTCCTCCTGCTCCGCCTTCGGTGACGGAAACGCTCTTCGCCATGATTGCCTCGTTGTCCAGGTATCCCGCGATCGATCCAGAAAACCAACTCTTACTGCGCTGCGAATCCTTGCGCTGCGATGGAAATGCGTTGACCTAGAAACGTCGCAATCTCGAAGCCTTGGAACCGTCCAGTATAAGAGCAAAACAAGACCGCGATAAGCAGCGCGACGAAACGAAACCACGTAGGCAATATCACCAGTCAACAGGATAAGGGAACACGAAAACCCCAAGCAACTAGATAAAAAGATGACCACGCGAGCGCCGCCAAATTCCCCGCAACTGGCAAACGCCGGCGCACTGCGCGCAAGCCCACCAAAGGCTAGACTGACTAATACTAATCCTAGTGGTCTTGGGAGTGGAATGCGACGCTGCAATCGTTCGCTCCACAGCACGAGTCGGAGTCGGAGCGCGCCAGCAGCCAGAGAGATAGGCGTCTCTAGGGCTGCTGATATGCACCGAGAAACTACCCACCCAACAATATACATACACCACACATCAAGTAAGCGACGACGATAAGACTCCTTTAGAACATCCTGTCCGATAGCCATGCGCGCAGCGCGTGTAACACAATCGCCAGACCCTGCCAATACTGACCACGCGAAAGCGCATGTCACCGATCAACTAGCCGGACATGCGTCATCTCCGTAATCGGGTGCGTTTGCCGTTCTTGTGGGGTCAACCACCGTCAGCCCAATCGGCCCCCTCTAGTGGACCCCAGGCCAGTCAACGCCCAGCCAGCAACAGCTCCGAGCAAAAGGCCGTTCTTCGTATCTTTTGTGGAGGGAGCGAAAGTGGACACGCTGGGGCCGCCCCCGGGGTGGTGGACACACGACACGTTTATCACGATTGCGATGCTGGGGTGGTGGTACGCAAGATAGATGTGGGAGAATAACATGATGATGATATAATAGTACAATTGTGTTTTCCCGAGACATGGGCTCGGGATGTGAGACTAATGCATTTACTCCTTCTAATGCAGGAACACCTGTATGCCGCGCCCGAATCCTTCGTGACAACCATGCTGTTCATCCCTGACATGTGCGTCCTGATAACGGTCATCTATCTCCGTTTTCCATATCTTCATCGTATCCCGTAACGTTTTTACTTAGCCATGACATCGACATAGCGTCCACCCTTCTTCTTCTTACCCGCCGGGCCCTTCCTCGCCTGAGGTGCGCCGAGCAAATCGTCAATACTACTAGCATTGCTCATACCAGTGCCCGGTCGTGATGGCGGTCCAGATGCAGCACCGAAGCTGGGTCTGGCGAGCGTAGGTGGTTTGGGTCCAGCGAAGCCCTCTTCGTCGGATTCTGGGATGCCGGGTGTAGAGGCGCGGGAGCCTGCGACACCCATTGGCGGCGGCAGCGACGACGAGCGGGGGTTGGAGGTAGGTGGTCGCAGTGCACCTGCGCCGGGAGGACCCATAGGCGGTGTGGGTGCGGCGCTACCTGAGGCACTTCGAGCTCCGCCGCCGGGAGGACCAGCACGTGGAGGTGGTGGTGTTGCAGCGGGCTTACCCGTGTCTGCCGCGCCGCCCTTCTTGTTTACCCACTTGCCAAGATCTGTGTCGTAGTAGAAACTGCTTTCTTCACCCAACTTGGCCTTGATGGGACCGGGACCGGCGTTAGGATCTTTCTTAAACCATCCAGATAGCCATCCTCCCTTCTTTGCCGCTGCGGCTTCCTTGTCGCGTTGAGCATCTGCTTCGGCGGCTTTGCGAAATGCCTCGTCTGCCTTTTTGTCTGCGTCTGACTTGGAGCTGCTGCCTCCGCTAATCTTCAAGGCCGAAGCGCGGGCCGCGAGGTCGTCATCGTCGTCATCATCCATGAAAGACTTCTTCTTCGATATCTGCTTATCGTCCTCCTTGTCATCCTCGTCCGGATTGTAGGGCTGGTACGCAGGAGGCTCAAAGGTCGATGACGAAGGTCCGTACCGATCGTAAGTGAGCTCGTTTGCTGTTGGCTCATCTGAGTTCGCTTGAGGCTGATAGCCGCCAAACGCAGGGGCCAGGGAAGGCTCTCCGACAGGTGGTGTGGGCATATACGGACTACCGAAAGATGGTTGAGCTGGGCTATACTCCGGACGAAGAGGTGAATATGACTGTGCTTTGGCTTGTGTGCGTGCACTCGGCGGGCTCAGTTGACTTTGAGTAGGGCTGTACACGTTTGATGTGGGTGTCATAGGCGTGTGCGTGTCGGATACTGCTCGCATGCCGAAGCTGTCGTTCGATTCCATTGATGGTCGACCCTGAGGCTCATAACGAGACCGTTGCTGCTCTGAAGACGACCTTGGCGCGTACGCGTTCGATGGTGCATACCTTGAATTGCCGGGGACGGGTGGTTGCGTTGGAACGCCATAGCCAGACATTGCGCCATAGAGATCCGTGCTCGACTGTGAGGGCGTGAGGGATGGGCTATTACCAGCGATCTTAGCGAAAGGTCCGTCCGGCCCACCAGACTTGTTGGCTGTGTTGTCCTCGTCGTCTCCTGCAATGAAGCTGTTGAACTTTGATAGGAGCGAGCTTCCAACCTTGTCCATGCTAGGCTTCGAGATCCACGATGACGATCCATCCTTCGGAGACTGCGACAGTCGCTTGCTCAGATCGTCAAGACTGGCGATGAAAGCAGCGTTGTAGTATAGCGATACTTGAGTTGTAGCCTTCATTGCCGCTGCAATGGCATCGCAATATGCCTGTGCGTCGGTTCGGTACCCATTTTCCGCGAGTTGATACGCATGTGCAAGTTTGTAGTTTTGCAAATGAGGAATGACATACGAGCCGCTCGGGGATGACAGCGATAGCGCAAACTCGTACACTTCGGTCAGCAATATTGGCTCCATCTCGACACCCATCTCCAGAGGGTTGAGACGATGATCAGCGCTGATCAGAACAAGATCAGCCTGCGGGTCATCGACTCCACTGACTTTCAGAACCGAGCGCGCGATGATGAAGCATACATGTGCAGCTTCAATGCGACCGTATTGAGCCAAGAGTCTTCCAAGCGAGAGCAGAGCTGATGCGTCACCTTCGCTACGGTTATTCAGAATCAGCGCAACTGTCTCGCACCACTTGTCTAGGCCCTGGAGTG